GCCAATCAGTCACTCTGAGTGCATCTGCCCCAACTGTAAGTCTTGTTCGCACTCTTCATACCATTACGGGGCTTGCTTCCCATCACTCTTGTTAAGGCAGCTCAGGGCACTCACCCAGACCAAGCTCAGTTTATTAAGTTAGATTGCAAGCTTACTCTACTCTCAATGCCATAACCCTGAACGCGAGTTTATCCCCACTCAAGGCTGCATACACAGAAGGTGCGTACGCTTTGGTTGTAACCTACCCACGCGTAAAGTACGATTCATGCTTAATGCAAGACCAGGCCCTGAACACGTTATATGAACCCCACCCGTACTCGGCACAACCTGGTGTCGAACACAACTGATGTTCATATGCAGTACAGGTGGGGTGTTAGATGCTAACCCCGCTCACATTAGGGGCAGGGTAAGATCTTTTAATCACCGTCAAACAGGAACTTAGCAAGGAGATAAGCAACTCTTCTCAATACCTTCCTTTTCTCTATCAACCAAATAAAACAAGCTTACTCTACTCTCAATGCCATAACCCTGAACGCGAGTTTATCCCCACTCAAGGCTGCATACACAGAAGGTGCGTATGCTTTGGTTGTAACCTACCCACGCGTAAAGTACGATTCATGCTTAATGCAAGACCAGACCCTGAACACGTTATATGAACCCCGCCCGTACTCGACACAACCTGGTATCGAACACAACTGGTGTTCATATGCAGTACAGGTGGGGTGTCAGATGCTAACCCCGCTCACATTAGGGGCAGGGTAAGATCTTTTAATCGCCGTCAAACAGGAACTTAGCAAGGAGATAAGCAACTCTTCTCAATACCTTCCTTTTCTCTATCAACCAAATAAAACATACGACAAGCGAGCATCATCCCACCAAGCTCTCAGATCAAATTGTCAAAAGGTCCTTGCATAATCATATCGAGGCTGGTCCCGACCCTACTCCATGCCAACGGAAAGACGTGTAGTCATGACCAAGGACTCCAGTTTCCAGCAACCTACCAACCGAGGCTTGTCTGTTTTCCCCAGTATAGTGATTGAGTAACATTAAAAAAAAAGAAAAGAAGAGAAAAAAAAAAGAAACATTACCCAAGAGGAAGGACTCAGAGCCCTGCAGTGATAACTTGATCATTAATCCTCTTGTTACCCACCGATTATCACCCCAAGGGATAAACCCTGCTAATCACGTTTAACACGCACGAGAATTGGGCACTTAACTCGCCAAACCCGACTCGGGGATCCCTGACCACTAGCTTCTGATGGAAACAGGGCAGGGGGCAGAAGGAGCAACCATTATCACTATCTCAGAAGTGCTTCAGGAGGATCAGTTAAAAGTCCCAACATACTTCAAAGGTGGACTGCGTTCTGATGCTCGACTCTCTGTACAGTCAGAGACTCCACTCTTACTCACGGTTCAACATGCAACTGCTACTCACACGTGGGCAAATAGCACACCCTGCTGAGCCTCGTGGCGAGAGTGACCTTTCCCGTAGACGACAACTCTGTTTAACTAACTCTGAGAGATGCTCGTGAGAGTCTCGCCCTCACCCAATCCCGTGAACTCACGCTTTCGGCACCTTGTCTTTATAACCAGCACTTACCTCAACCTTTTGTTTGAACTAGCACGTCGTTTACTCCGTTACGATTTTCTTATGCGGATTGAATTTACGAAGTAGCTAGAGTTGACCCAGGACTAATTTCAATAACACCATCCGTCAGCTCATATCACTGACCGAAGGCACGTGGCCTAACCTTGCGGAAGGGTGTCTGTCGTCCGTATCTGATACAATCATCCTTTCTCCCACCTTCACCAGTCACCACCACAAGGTTTGCACGCGCAGTACCACATCAAGAAAGAGGGCAAGGTTATTGTCGCACACCCACACCGGAGATGTCAGCAAAATACACTTACTCTCGCTCCCTCAGGAAAACAAGATGTCACGTCCGTTCACTACCCATTAAGGAATGTCAATAGCCTCATCCTGTAGCCAGCGGATCACTGACATGAAAGGCACAAAAGAACCAATCCAAACCCTATCAATCACGAGCCTCGTGCACAATCAGTACGCAGCACCTGGCATCCGAGACCAACTCTCTTCCTGTACCATTCATGGAACGTGAGATCGAACCAATCGAGCTATCAGGAGTGAACAAATTGATCTCGCAGTACAGACCCGCACGTCTCACTTGTCTCTTATACAACTCATTCACTCTAGCTAGTCCACTAAAATGTTTGGCGCAGTGAGCGATCGCAGGCTCATGAAAGGGTTCATGTAGGGAAAGTCGAAGATCATCCATCAAAGGCAGATAGCACCGGCCAAAACTAAAGTATGGCTCAACTCACTCATCTCTTTTGCCTGCGATTCTGCACTGACCTGACTTCCTCACCAGTACACGTGCATTGGAGTGCTCTCTGACAGGGGTCGGTGTGATAGGCACGTGCTAGGAGGGCTGCGGAAAAGCTGATGACGTCACCCACACTCCCTCACGCTTACACTGCTCTCTCTCCCCCTCGTCGTCCCCCTTCTTTCCTCTGCCAGAAACCAGCCTTATCGCGCTTCCGTTGGCATCAGCCACCACATGATCACTTATGTACTGACCTCCTTTCCATTCACTAATCATAAGGGAACTGAATAGCGCGTTCCCAAAGCCTCCTCTGCTCGGTCACTCTAATGGCTAGCAGTCGCAGCAGTCCACGTACGAACGAAGGACTGTTCAATCTGTGACCAGGGCAGGGAAGGGAATCGCAGTTGACGCACACATGTCAAGTAAACGACTTCTACCATGCCCTGCAGATTAACCTCTCCTGGTAGCCACTGCTCTTGCCGCTCTGGCGGGGTCTATTTCCTCTCGTTCTTGCTCGTCACTGTCGCAGGCGGGCTTGATCTGTAACCGCTCGGTCCCTTAGTCCCGTTGCTGCCGGGAATTAGCCTCTGGACCACTCTCCACAGGCTCAGTCGGCGGGTGGTCCCTCCACCACTGGTCCAACCCGTGCCAGGACTGGGTCTCTGCGTTCATGTCGCTCGCCTCGCTCTCAGCCTCCGAGTGGCGGTCCAGGTGCCTCTGCTCCTGCTCTACCGTGTCCGTCGAAGTCTCTGCCTCCAGGTAAGAGACGGTCACTTTCACTTCATCTGTGACCCCATCCCTCTGCACCTCCTCTCCGCACGGTCCCTGGCTTCCGTAATGGCCGCTTGTAACCCTCGATACACCCTCATTTCTTCCTCTTTTTCCCCTTCAACATTTATCTTCGGTCTTGCCTCCCACTTGCAATGACTGTAGTCCAAGACTGCGGTCACAGTCGGCCCGTCTCCAGACATCCACTCCCATCTCCAGAGAAACTGGAGGCATCTTGGCCTATAGCCGTGTAGTCTGCTGCTCCGCACCATGGTGAGCCCCCGTGGACAATATTCGTTATCAGGCTGCAGATCCCGGAATAGCCGAGGTCTAACAGTTACAGCGTGAGCACGCGCACACCAATAATCTCCCGCACTAGCCAGGCCGTCCAGGCCCCTCTCCCCAGTTCGCCAGTACCCGGCGTAGCGAGATCACTCATGCCGCAGTTGCCAAAAGACCAGCCCTCCCTTCTTTTTATAGGATCGCTACCCGCCGCGATCCCCATGCTCGAAACGGGGAACTCGGGTAGCCTTCAAAATTCGGCTTACTAGCGGCCTGTGATTCTGAAAATGATCAAATGAAAAAATATAGAAATAAAATAAGGAGAAACGAAACGAGAGACCAAATACCAACGGGCATAGTGCATGCGGACCCTCTTGCTATCAGTCCTTGCCACTTCATTTTGCCGTGGAATGCTCGCGACCCTGAAAAGGTGGTCCCATAATGGGATACCAACCAGCAGCCTCTCTCCTCTAAAAGGAGTCGTCAAGCTACAACTAACGGGTACCCGTGTCCGATGGCAAGGAGCGGGCTCACAGCCTCTCACTGGGGGTGATGAGCCTCCTACCAATCCGGCCGCGGGTACTCCCATTTTGGTGTCCCACTGATGCAGCGATCAGACGGTCAGGTCAGCAATGAGTCGAACGCGAGGGGTCTGGCTACCAGTCTGCAGTCAAGGTCCGAAAATGAACCGTTGATCCCCCAGTGACGTGACTGGGCGGGGGAACCAGGATTCGTAAGGCCCAAAAAGAAGAAGAAGACTGCTACAACTAAAGATTATAGTAAAGGAAAACAACTCTGCAGAATTCCTAGCGCCGTGCCTCTTAAAGACCATCAGACCTAGCAATCCTAAAGTAGGGGCCTGGATTCAAACAACAATACAAAACACTGCCCCCTTTCTGTTTCTCTTATTCCTTTTCCTTTCACCCTCGGAGTCACTGCACCTACCCCGAGACCCAGCCACGGGAACTCGGCGTGCAGTTGGAAGGACTATCCCCCGTTTTCACTGTCATGTCCCTAGGTGACAGTGATCACAGTACAGTGGGGTGCCAAGCTTAAGTGGACTGATGGAAGTCTTGTCACTCACCCCACTCCTTTGCCAGGACACGCACTGACAGAACCAACCCTCAACGGAGCTCCACTCAGCTGTTTCCGCTCCGTACGCCACAGAAGCCCATAGACCGAGAGTTTGGTGCACCACGGGGGGTTCCTCGATTAGACGTCTAGTACTCAATATAGATGCGTGAGCAGGTACTTGGAGCACAACAAAGTTGTGTGAGCAGGCATTCGACATACGGCGGAGGGCCAGGACACCGCGTCGCGTCGGACCGTCGGCTTTGCCCTCTGCCTGGCGTGTCCCTTGCTACCGGCTTCCCCAACCTGGGACCCGGGTCTCGCGTGGGGCGTCTCGCGAGACCCGCTGTTTTCTTTAGTAGTATAGAGATAACTGGAGCTTGCCCAGAGTCTAGATCTGAAAGTGATTGGCAATAGTAGGGAATGTCGTGTGGGTCTGCTTCCAGCATCAGGGCGTGGCATGTGCTTGGTGCCGAAAGAAACAACTAACACGGGTGATGCTCACTTGAACTTTTGTGTTTCATGGGTACCCAGGCAACAGAGAAGGCAAACAAGGATCTGGACAAGTATTACAACGCCCTGGACAAGTAAGTTGCAACGCTTCTGTGTCAGCCTGAGGTCTGCAGCAACCGTTTGAATACTGGTTGAAATCTGAGCTTGCATACTCACCCGAGAACCTCAAGCTAGCATCTGCAACTAGAAAGCATTTGCCATGACCTCTCCCAGTGTTCCTCCAAAGTCAGTTACACAATCAAGGCCTTGCAGAACGTCCCAGTACCTGCGCCAATCATCAGAAATGAATGTTCAAGAAGAAATCTGAAAACCCAGGAACAAATATATTCTATACAAACAACTTTGTCCTGAGGGCCATCTCGAACTATGCGGCCAACTTCAAGTAAGAAAATTAAAACTGTACTTCAAGTTACTGTTGCATTCTCTTTGTCCCTTTTGGAGTCAAGAGTTTGAGGGGCCCTTAGCAGCCAAACTCGAATATAACTCGTTGGAGGTTGGTTGGTTCCGAGGAGGAAGGTAGACAACTCTCTCTGGTCCGCATACTGAGGTTCGGATACCCAACTCCTTTAAGGCCTTCGTGTACTTGGAACTCCCTCTTTGATGACCTTTGTATACTTTGGACTTCTCCAACGCAGATATTGATACTGTGATATGCCACTAGAGGATTTGCTTGAAGTCAGGTAGCGAGGCTGTGATACGTCAATGCCTAGCCTAGCGCCCTTCCTGCGCTAGAGGACTGTCTCCACTCCAGATACCGAGGTTTCATTTTTGTGTTTTCTCCTGGGTTAGGCCGACGTCGGCCCCAGACGGACCAGGCCAGACGGACCAGGCCAGACGGACGGGGGGGGGGGGGTCTGTCCAGCAAAACCAGACGAGCCAAAAAACATCCCAGGAATTTTTTTTAATTTTTCTTTGAAGATGGGGTTGGAGTGGTGGAGGGGGGGATTTGACAAGGGGGTAAAAGGGTGTGTTGTAGCAGCCAGTCCGCTGAGGGGAGGGGTTTGAGGAGAAGGAAGGAGTACAAGAAGAAGAAGAAGAAGAAGAAGAAGAAGAAGAAGAAGAAGAAGAAGAAGAAGAAGAAGACGAAGAAGAAGGTGCTTGCAACGTTTCCTTTTCCTTTTTCTTCTGCCGTTTTGCCCCTCCTCTGTCCAGACTCGCCACTCCCCCCTCCAATGTCGCTGGCACCGCCCACCATAGTGCCGTGGAAGTAGATGCAAGGACCACCAGCGAGGGAAAAAAGAAAGTTCAAATATCGGGAGAAGAAGAAGAAGAAGAAGAAGAAGAAGAAGAAGAAGAAGAAGAAGAAGAAGAAGAAGAAGAAGAAGAAGAAGTAGTAGTAGTAGTAGTAGAAGAAGAAGAAGAAGAAGAAGAAGAAGAAGACTTAGGGAGGAGGAGGAGGCGAGAAGAAGACGCAGGGAGGGAGAGGAGGAGGAGGAGAGAAGAAGACGAAGGGAGGGGGAGGAGGAGAGAGAGGAGGAGGAGAAGGAGGAGGAGGAGGAGGAGACTGTTACATGCCCAGTTGGGCGATGTACATAATAACCGAGGATCCGCAATGTGATAAAAAGGACTGAATGGACAATGCAGTGCAAGTGGAAATCGCAACAAGCAATGTGCATTCCGATACATACAAAATGGTTCTTTATAGCGCAGGGAAGACTTTAGATACAAGTCCTGACCTGACTGGGACTGACCTCTTTCACGTAGTACAAGATAGCGAAGCAGGATGCTAGAATACTAATGACTAGCCCAATCAATGTTTCAACGCTGACCAAACATACATCATGCTCATCACACGGCGTGAAGGGGCCTGGCGCTATACACAGGAAAGAGGCGCCAGGTCCAGACATACACAGACAAAGAGGAGGGGATCAGAGGAAGAAGAGGAAGGGTGAGATGGGAAAGTCCTCAACACCAAGTCTCCTCACAAGTCCCAAATAATCCCTCTTCAATATGTCTGAAGTCCAATGTCGAGTCTGGATCCAAATGTCACCAAGCTCTCTCTCTCTCTCTCTCTCTCTCTCTCTCTCTCTCTCTCTCTCTCTCTCTC